TTTGTGGAATGGCAACCTACGGTGCATATAAGGTTTGACAACTTGCTTATTAAATGGATTATTCACCAAAAAATGAAAGTTCTGCCATTATTTACTCACCATCATGTTGTTCCAAACCCATGAGACTTTCTTTCTGGCATTGAACTTAAACACAAGGGTGAGTTAATAAAACAGAACTTCCATTTGGGATTGAAAGATGATTGAAGCTCATCAAATAAGACTCAGTTAATAAACTCAAGACTAAATTAATAAAATGAAATGCTTAATTCATCAGTTTGTGCTGCGTAGTAAAATTATTTCTTTCTTTTCTTTCAGCAACATGCTGCATGGATCATTCCTTTCTTCTGTTACCAGATCTTTGACTTTGCTCTTAACACGCTGGTAGCAATAAGTGTTGTTGTTTACCCCAACACCATACAGGACTATCTTCAGCAGTTGGTAAGTATCTGATCTGACTCTTAAAATGTCAAACTTTGAGTATAATTCTATCATTCTGACTTCATGTGTCTTTGTTTTAACAGCCTGGGACCTTTCCATACAAAGAGGACTTGATGTCCACAAACAACATGTGCCTAGTATTAGCAGTGCTTCTCTTTGTTGGATGCATTTTAGCCTTTAAGGTAAAGAGAAACAACTGTACCGCTTTCCCTTTATTGTGATCTGCCAGATCATTTTTGGTTGACTATAGCTAGATGTGATGCACAGTAGCCTGCAGGATTGACTGTGAATATGACTGCTTCAGACAAACACTGTGTTGTCCTTCTAGAAGCCTGACTCTTCCAGTAGACTTAAGATTTGATACAAATCGCTTTATGACAGCCTGCACGCATTAGAGAGAGGCAGATTACTCTGCTGGGATAAACACAGTGTGCTAAAATTAACCTCTGCTTGCCTACCATGCTGTTGTATGCATGACAGTCTAATAGGTTGTTTGTTGCATTGTGTGATCTGTCTAAATCAAACTGAATGCCTCTGAGAATGAACATCATTGAATTTAGTGGCAAATGTGTTGAAAAAACAGTTTAGACTGTAAATTTTACTAAAGGATTAATTTCTTGAACCTTAAAAGCAGATATTTGGTTGATAGTTTTTAGGTTTGTCAGCATTGGATTAATTTTGCAGTTTTGGGTGAACTACTTCTCTAGCATAAATGCAAAAAGATAAAAGGTTATTATTAAAAATGAAGAATAAAAAAGAAAGGTGACCAGTTATAGCACAACCTTAGCTCATACTGTCGCTGTGTGTATTTTAAACAAAAAGTGTATTTTAAATGAAAAAATCATGTTAATGTTATTTGTCCCATATGCTCTTGTTATAATTTTTTACCATCTGGAAATTAAATGGTGTAGACAAGGCACTGTATCTGTGGCTCTTTATTCTTATTGCTTAAGCCATATGCACATGATTTATGGTGGTGGTTTTATTTAGCATCAGCGGCTGTTCTTTCTCTTTTTCTCTTTAGGCTTACCTTATTGCCTGTGTGTGGAACTGCTACAGATACGTCAGTGGAAGAAGCACTACAGAGGTCCTGGTTTATGTCACCACAAATGACACTACAGTAAGTCAGAGGTTTATATGAACATAAACTGTTTAGCGGAGTCTTGTTTCTTTACCCTCATATTTGCAGATGTCTCCATAATGGACACACATAGACTACTTCAACTAAATGCTGTTCTTTTGAGGTTTCTATTCATCAATAATCCTGGAAAAATGTATCATAGTTTCCAGAAAAATATTAAGCAGCACAACTGTATTCAACTGTAATAAAAATAAAAGACTGGAGTAAAAGCTGCGTACCAAAGCTGCTAAAAATTCAGTTTTGCCAACACCGGAATAAATTACATTTTAAAATATATTAAAATAACTATTTTCTATTTTACATTGTAATAATATTACACAACATTAGTTTGTACTGTATTTTTGATCAAATACATTCAGTCTTGGTGAGCATAATAGACTTCTTTTAAAAACAGAAAAAGTTACAGACTCCAAACTTTTGAATGGTAGTGTAATTATGGATAATAATCATAAGGAGTTTGATCATTCTGTTTCAGATTTTGATTCCATTTAATACACCCAGTTCCTCACTGATTCCATTAATGATTCTTTTAGTACATGTAAGGAGGCAACAAATGCATGATACTACCTTTATTATACCATATAAAGCTATATGAGATTTATATTTGTATAAACGAAATACAGAATTTAAAAATATATATTATTCTGGTAACATTTAAATTACAATAAATACATAAACATTGAAATGCAAAATAATTATTTTCTGAATGTATATCTTTAACTTTTATTATGATCTGGACAAAGTAATGAATCACGGTTCAGTAAGTGAAATGTGAATTGAATATTATCTGAAAGGCTGATACGAATCATCCGTTCGGTTCCCGGCCCAGCATGTGATTCAGTCATAAAAACAGTCTCACATAGTTTATCTCTGCACAGCTATAGGGGATGTTCTGATGTGCATCGCAGCAGGATCATGATGACGGTCTCCTCATGCCCTCTGTGTTGTTGAGTCAGTGTTTATGGAGGGCATTAGAGAGGGCAGTGTGCTGTGTTCCTCTACTGCCTCTAATCCCACTACTGTCTGCCTCTGTCTGTCTGTCCTGCTGCTCTGTTGACCCTCCAGTCCCTCCAGTCACTGACAACTCACATGTATGAAGAGTTACATTTAATGCATTTGACAGATGCTTTCATCTAAAGTGACTTAGAGTGCTTTGAAGGAATGCATTTTATTTGTGTGTTTATAATTATTCAAAAAAAGTTTGTTTGGGGTGGGTGATCGGACTAATTGGATTGCCCGGGTCATTCCACAGATGAATTCCACAGATGGACAACCAGTATAATGAGTGGTCAGATGCTTTAAAAAGAGACAGAAAGAACTGAAATAAAAGGCCATTGAGAAGCATGGGGCTTTTTCACCATTCAGCTGCAGGCCGTTACATAACTGTCCACACTTGTTTGGTTCATTTTAAATCCGCATTCCAGCCGTCCTGACAAGGAGAAAATGTGATCCCCCTCGGGGCATTCATGACCATATTACTAATTAGCTCACCTTTTCATAATAACAGAATGTTTTGGGCTGGTTTTTCTGTATATGGAGAATGAACTTCCCTCTGCGGAGACAGATAGCATTTAAATTTAAGATGAAGGCATTTCCTCTGACCCAGAGTTGCTTAAAAATGCTTTAGTTTTATGTCTGACATGGCCTTGGTTTACAGGTGGCTAGCAAAGCAACAATAATTTTATTTTTCAAAAGGTTTTTTTTTTTACAGATAGAGACGGTAAGGCACAGGCAGGATTCAAACCTGCATCCTCTAAAGCACCATAGATCAATGGCTATTTTCAAAACATACTTCCATGCTACACTTATTATATCTTCAGTATATATTATGTAGACTTTGCCAGGGTTACTATCGTAACATATAACATAAAATATAAAAACATTAAACTTTTATTTTAGCTAGTTGCCAAGGCAACATTTCTCTTTTTAGTTGAAGTACTAAAAACTAAAACTTAATAAAAACTATGTAGACATATTTGAATAAATAAATAAAAATGACAAAAGCACAACAAAATTGAAACTTTAACTTAAGTTAAGCTGAAAATATAAAATCTATAAATAAAATCTTATTCAAAATACCAACAAAAACAATACTAGTATATCCAAGATACTAAAATATGTACGCTATGTAAAGAAATACCCAGATGTACAGAGCCCAGAACATGACATATAAAAGAAAAAATAGATCTTGTGACCACGAATTAAGAATTTGTTCACACAATTTATTAATTCCTGGCCATGTTTTATTAATTTGTTCCATTCTTTTGGTTCAGGGCCACTTTGTACTTATTTTAGTTAAATTGTAGCCATGTTGTAAAAATTTGTTACCTAGTTTTAATTTAGGTAAATCATGATTTAAAGTGTTAGTTCACCCAAAAATGAAAATTCTGTCATTAATTACTCACCCTCATGTCGTTCCAAACCTGTAAGACCTTCGTTCATCGTCAGAACACAAATTAAGATATTTTTGATGAAATCCAAGAGCTTTCTGACCCTGCATAGACAGCAACACAACTGACACGTTCAAGACCCAGAAAGGTAGTAAAGACATCGTTAAAATAATCCATGTGACATCAGGAGTTCAACCTTAATTTTAGGAAGCTACGAGAATACTTTTTGTGCTCAAAGAAAACAAAAATAACGACTAAAAATGAGGGAATGAATTAAGTTGTGGAAAATGAATTCTCAATTTGTAGTCATTCCTTTTTGTTCCAATGTGACATTTTGGCTGCGTTTGCCAAAATGCCCATTTGCTGACTAGAGTAATGTATCCCACAATGCAGTGCTCTCAACTTGACCAATTATGTCCAATGTGACGAATGAACCAGAAGTGATATTAGACATGATTTCTTTAGATTTTTCTTCATTATGTTGAGTTGAGTCATTTCTACACAAAAATGTGTATGCATTCTAAGTAACAGTTTATTTTATACAGAAATATAGCCCCCTCTGTTTAAAACTTTTTATTTTGCATAACGTGTTCTGTTTCATACTAGTTTGAAATCTAATTGGCAGTTTATAGTATAAGCTAATATTAATGACAAACAGCATGTGTGCTAATGGCTACAGCTCAAACTATTCTCTAATTGTTTTCATTCTTTGTGTCTTGATTAATCTAAGAATATAGTGTACAACAGAAAAGGAGAACATAATGTATACGTAAAGCATTTACTAATATATTACTGCTTTATTTTCAGGTACTACTTCCACCCTACGAGGAGGCCATCGCCATTCCACCGAAGGATCCCCCTCCTCAGTACGTTTCAGCTTGAGAATCACACCACTCTCTTACTACGCTCCTCCCAAACCTGCTCCAAAGAAACAATCTCCGTCACAATAGCCCTGGTCTCCTGTTTGTCGCTGTGTGACGTAAGTCTCCTCTCCTCTCCTCTCCTCTCTGGAGGCAGCAGTATGACTTTGAGACGCCCTTCCCTCGACGAGGCTGCCCAGCTGTCCTGACAACCCAACGCTGTGTGTCAGCTCCAATCTGATTTGCACTTTCGGCGATTATGTGCGGCCCTGGCTTTTTTAATACTGTGAACTACTCAGTAGTGTTGTTGTCTACTGATATACCTGAGATTTGAATGCGGTGTGCATGATAAACACGGGAGTTACGTAAGAGCACTTTTAAAATGGGAATTACCTAGAAATATACTGAATGTAAGAAGACGGCATTTTCACTTTAATTTCGTTGTACTGTACGAAATAAAAAAGACAAATTTTTATTCAGAATATAACTAAATTAGTTGTAAAAAAAACATTTTATGCGAGCAATTCTACACCATTTTATCTAACAAAGTGAAATCTTTTAAGTCTTCCTTTTATACACAATGTCCCAAAACATGATGCAATCATTGATTAATATTCTCTTTCAATCAATCAAATGCTAATCATTAGTTTTAGATGGTTTAGATGTCGCAAAGACTGAACGATCCTGCTGCTTGTGAACAGATATAAAGCTATATACACTTAATATTTGTGAAACTCTGGTTTAGATTTGAAATCAAGTAGATTTGAAACATTTTAAAGATTCATGTATCATGGGGGATCTGACTTCAAATTAAAGGACTTGTCGCTTGTTTACTTAAATAAAAAAAATAAAATAAAAAAAAAAGCACAAATTTGGCTTAAGGTGCCATCACATTTACCATTGTTTCACTAGGAATCCATGCGATTAGGAATTTAGTTTGATGGTGAAAGATTTTACACTAAATCTTGCATGCAAATTCTCCACGTTGACGAACAAAAGCTGCTTGGTTTGAAAATTGACTTCTGTGTGAGCTGTGCTTCAGACATCACTACGCTATTGACGATACACAATGGACCTTTTTTGTCTCAACATTTTCCTTAACTTTTGGTAATGTAATTGCATCTTTGTAGTTGAGGTACTTAGAATGGAAGTGAATTGAGTCAATCTGTTAAAGTTACACGGTGTGTGTTAACATGATTTTAGTGTAAAAAAAAATCACAAGCTTTTTCTATGTTACGTTATATCCCATTTTACAATTTAACCCCTAAACCCCTAAATTGATTATTAAAATAGATTCATGAGATAGTTCACCCAAAAATGGAAATCCTGTCATTAACTACCATGGTCAAGACCCAGAAAGGTAGTAAGAACATCGTTAAAATAGTCCATGTGACATCACTGGTTCAACCGTAATTTTACGAAGCTACAAGAATACTTTTTGTGCGCAAAGAAAACAAAAATATGCATTGTTGCGTTGTGGTACTCCCATGAATGCGTGTCGAAGTCTGACGCGGAAGAGAAGAGATTGTTGAATAAAGTCGTTATTTTTGTTTTCTTTGCACACAAAAAGTATTCTCGTAGCTTCATAACATTAAGGTTGAACCACTGATGTCACATGGACTATTTTAACTATCTTGTATGTGTCAGTTGCATTGCTGTCTATACAGGATCAGAAAGCTCTCGGATTTCATCAAAAATATCTTAATTTGTGTTCTGAAGATGAATGAAGGTTTTAAGGGTTTGGAATGACATTGTCAATTAATGACAGAATTTTCATTTTTGGGTGAACTAACCCTTTGAACAGCTTTACAGCTCAAATACACAGATCTTAAGAGAAATATTAAAGTAAGTGCTTTTATGAAATTAGAAGCTTCACACCTCAAATCCTTAAAAAATGGCCCCATTCACTTCCATTGTAGGTGCCTAACCTACCTTAATTTTTGCTTCTTTTTTTTTTTTAAGAAAACAAGGGACCAGACCATTTTTGTGGTAATCGACATTATGCCACAAATGCTGTCGACTTATCTTGACTTGCATTGAACCAGACAGTGCTCAGTGAATAAATGAGAATTATGGGTGTTAGGAAATCATTTTTGTCATTTGAAGTTACACGCTCCTGTTTAGAGAAGTAGTGTAACTTTTCTGTCATTATCACTAGGTTACAATCTGTGGCTGCAGACTGCAATGTTTTTGCACATGTGAATATTATTCATTCATGTTATTGTCTGTGATGAATGGTGTGTTAATCAGTAATTGTGACAAATGAAAAGTAAACGATGTGACCCCGACAGTAGATTAGCATGTAGCCGAGTTAAGATGACATGCCATTTCCCCCAGTCACCTACTAGCTCAAAGTAGCTTCTGTTATTGGGAACATTTTTAATTTTTATATACAGTGGCTATGCAAGGGTATTTTGTAACATGTATCCATAGCTGAAAATGACTATATACTTACATTTATTCATCATGGTAACATTAGATATAGAAGCATTAATGGAAGTATTAGAGATTGATAGATGTAGGAATTTTCTTTCATTGTTCTGTGCGTAGACTTTCATCCTCAGTTGAGCATCTCCGAATTAGCTTCATATAAGCAATGTTTTATCATGAAACACAATTTAAAAAGATTCTGTGTGTTTGGAATATTACTTTTGGTATTGTGACCTGTAATTTGTATTATAATATTCTCACAATATTTCTCATAAAAATGAAGTAATTATTAATGGATATCACAATATGAATTCTCAGAAACCCAGAACAATGTCTGTCAGTAGGTAGAATGCCTGTGAATGTTTGTCTTTGTCTTGTTACACATCCTGTATTGGGTTGACACTGGCTTATGTCTTATTTCTAAACAATAAAATATTCCAGTAATGCTTCGTTATGGCTGTCTTTTGCCTGATGTCTGTGGAAGCCCATGGAGATCTGGGATAGATCAGAGTGGATTGACTTCACAATTAAAGTGTGGCATTACCTTTGCTTGACCAGAGACGGATTCACCTACTATCAGTCCTGCCTCAGCAGAACTGTGTCAGGGTTTTTACCAATTACTTTGGTTACAAGAAACTGAAATATATTATGCACTTCATCCACTGACCTATTTTTGATGGTCCAAGGATGCTTCGGTATATAAAACTAAAAACACAGCCCGAGGCTGAAGCTCCTTACTGAAGCACTGTCGATCAATATTTTGATCCTCAAACCTGTAAAAGAAAAGTCAAACCTCTTCTAATTTTATATATTAAATATTTGTTCAAACTGGCATATGCCATTTAAAATGAGGAAAAACTACATGAGCAAAATATAATTGGTAGCAATTTAAAATGAAGTTATACAATAAATATTTCAGTTAAATCCAATGGATGACCAGCCGTTCGTTTAAGACTGCGCAACACAATTCTGTATCAACAATTTATAATTTAGGAGTGGACTACAGAAATTTTCAAACCAAAAGATAACATTGTATTCTACTTGTAATTCACCCTGTACTGTTCAAATGTTTTAACTGCAAAACGAAGAAAGAAAATGCATTACATATTGCACCCTCTAGTGGCAAACTTGTAATACATATTGAAGTTGTGAATGTGTAGCTTTAGATTCATCCCATTGCTGTGGCTCAAGTTGAATTCACGGCACACAAAGTAATTTTTACTAATATAAAGAAGATATTGGACTCTGTTCATACTTTTAAGAAATTGGGAAAAATAAACATTTCCCAAGAGCACATCAAGGATTCCAGAAACAGATGTCATGTTGATCTTTTTTAATAATAATAATAATAAAAAAAACTTGAATAACTGAAACATAGTGACTAAACAATATTCCATTTCTCAACATTATCAAAGATCAAAAGATGAGAAGGGGAAACGCCTTTTATCCATTAGACATCAAGTCTGAACAAAAGCTGAGACAAAAATAACCAAAAACCACAAAGACCGTTTCAACCAATTTTATTTCTAATAAGATCTGGTGGAAATGGCTCTACTTCTCCCCCTGCTGCTGCTGCTGCTGGTCTGGCATGCTTCTGATGATGTCGGAATCCCCTATCAACACAAGAGAAAGGCATTAATGACAGAACAATTAATTTAACCTGACACAATGTTACAATATTAATGTTGAGAATACATAAAGGACAGTCAGACCATGTCTAAGATGCTCTAGAGTTCCACATTGGATTCGAAATATCACAAAACATACCAGCAACCTTTTAAATGGACATCTACTTTGACATAATAATCTACTAAACCAGTTAAAAGGGAAAATTACAATAAATCAAAAGTGTAAGATCAAGTCACATCAGTTGTCCCACTGAAAGAAACCGATGCATGAATACACACCAGGGTCAATGATGGCCAGTGTGCACACCCTGTAGTATTTGCCACAGGCTGTGCCGAGCTCAATGTTGTTTCCACTGTAATGATGGACTCCAGTTTTGGCCAACATTGCATAGTACTCAATCTCAGATTTCCTAGAACAAAAAAAAAACAAAAACATGATTAATTAAAACATCCTCAACCCTTATATAATTGTATTGACTAAGACACCACAGATTATTTGCATAACGACAGTGGATTCACAGAGCACACACCTCAGAGCGGGACAGTTGTTGGCCAGGATTACCAGCTTGGCTTTTCCTTGGCGAATCATTTTCTGAGACTGCTTGTATCCGAGAACGTATTTACCGCTCTTCATCACAAGCTGCAGTCTGGAGTTAATGGACTCCAGGGACTTTTTCTGTAAAGTTGAAGATAAAACCATAAATACACCTACAGCACAGAATGTAACAAATAAATAAATAAAACACTTTGACAGAATACAGTGACTAACATGTCAAATATATTTTACATCAGACTATTATCAGTAATTTCTTTGACAGGGGTGTGAATTCTGTGTATTAATCTTGTGCACTAGACTAATATGTGCATTAAGTCTAGCACATTAATATAATAAGTCACACAAATAAGTTAAATTTCCAAAGCAATTCAAGTCACATCCCATTCACACTATGAAGATCACGTCAATGAACTTATAAACAGTGTATACATAATGTGAGCATATCACGTCTGCTTCACAGACAACTACAATACTATATCTCAATGACATTTTACAAGTATTGCTCCCGTATTACATTCATTGCACATTGGGACATAATGATTTATCGAATGCGACTTTAATTTATATAATAAGCGTTTGTTTTATAAAGACGCGTCACGTTTTGTGGAGACACTTGTATTAAATATATTAATAATGGTATATACAATACAAATCCTCTGCAAGTTACTAGAAACATCCCGTCAAGCAGCTGCACTCCTGAACTAACGTTAACTCACATTTAGCCCACCCAACAGCCCGTCACCGAGGAGACAAACATTTGAACCATACAATGCATATTAACACTTCAGCTGCGTAACTTTAATCGTATATATCAGTATCTGTGGATGAAAACGTGTTGGTTTTTATCATCAGGCCTGTAGCGGAGCTTCCACGTGAAAGACTCCAGCGCAGCGTCGCGCTCCACTCACCGCTTTCTTTGCGGCCACCATTTTTCCTGATTAGTCCGATCTGGCCAACCTAAACACAGAAGAGCGACAAATCAAGACATACACTTTCAAAACTATGCGTTTGTATCCTTGACAGAAGTCTTAAAACGAGTATTTTAATAGTTTCCGACAGAGCCGCGCTCA